TTCTTCGTCAGCCTAGAGGTCTTTAGAAACTGCAGTCTAGCGTCATAAATGTTCAGCACAACACCGGTATCAAATCTCGGTACAAATCAATTCCTGAAGCCCGAACACAGAGCGCCAATTCTCGGACCGTCCGGGTCAAACCCAGGTCAAACCTGCACAGGTGGCAACCGTCGTGTCTCTCGCCACCCCACCTTTAAAGATGCGGCGGGTGGATGCAGCCTCTCCTTCTCTCTCAGTGGGTTCAATGAGATGGTAAAGGTGAGTTCTTGGGTTCAAGCTTTGCGCCTGGGTGTCTTTGTCTCTCTCTCAGGAGGTTCACCATGACAGACTGTTCAGGCAACTGCTGTTAGCGAGCACCTATGAAGGCCACCACAGCACACGAGGGGTTGGGTGGCCAGCACCACGTCTGGTCGCATTTGTCTCGCTAGTGGCGATGTTTTACACACCTCACCAGGTTTTAGGCTGAGTCGACCTAGGGTAGGCCCAGGACCGGTTCAGATAATCATCACTGGTGTTAGTGGCCGTGAGTGTTAATCGAACCCGGGTCGCCGGATTTTGTAGTGCAGCGCATTAACCGCTGCACTACTGCCCCCCGCACTAATATCACCATGACCATCACCACAAGCAGCATCAACACTAAAACCAACACCATCATTACAACATCCGCAATCGCCACTATATCCAAATATTACGAATGAATTATCACCGCCACTATCGGCATTAAGGCGACCACCTACACTACAACCATCACCTCCACTGCAATCATCATTTTTCACCACCACCTTCATCACCTACCCTCATCACCACTGCATCTACCATTATTGCCACTTCAGCTACTACAAACTACCACCAACAATACTGCCACCACTATCACCACCACTATACCATTATCGCCACAATCGTCACCACCACCGCCACCACCACCATCGTCACCATGCATCACTATCAACACCACCACCATCATCATCGCAACGACCACCATCGCCACTATCCATCACCACCTCCTCCACCACCACCTCACAACTTAGCCCGAGCCCCAGGCAGCTTGTAATAGCCCCTCTTAATCCCCTCTAATTGTCATCTCGTGTCCGCGGGGGGGGGGGGGGGGGGGTGTTGGGGCGAGTGGCTGCGATTGGATTTTTAATCTCACAATTGCCGACGGTTCAAGTTTAGGGGCCACTGAGCGGCCACTGCGACCCCCTAACAGCTCTGCCCCCCGCCCCCAGCTGTCGAGGTAAATGTAAATGCAAGCTGTCCAGCCGCTCACACAAGTGAGCTTCAGGTGATTTAGGGGGATAGATTGGACCGCATGGGGCAATGTGCGCTCGGCTCGCTTCGTGGCCCTGCTAGGCAGCGGGGTGATGCCATCTCTACCTCAAGGGGTATCGCGGTGTTTGTGTAGTGGCTTCGAATTAGGTGCACACACACGCAGCTTGGAGGCAACACTATTTATTAACGGTAAGTAATATAACACTGTACATGAGGTGGTGACCACCTTCCTCAACTCACTAACACTCTGGAACGCGACACAGACTGGACCAGGCAGGCAACGGCCTGCCTGGCCCAGGACGACGACTCGGGACTTGACGACCGATGGTGTCTTCACTTCGGAGTACAGTACAACAGCCTCGCTCTGCGTTCACACCACGCTTATATCTGCTTTGGCGTGGCCGGCTCCGCCCAGGCGTGGCTGGCTCTCTCCAGGCCACGCCTCCCTTCCCAGGACACGCCTCACTTCCCCCACCTCTGGGAAGGTCCGGATCCCTCCACCACGTGACCCTCCAGGCACGCCCTTGGGGCCCCCAGCCCTCGTACGGGCCGACACAGTAGTGACCGTTCTATGTCACTACATCTGTGTTTCGTTGGCAATTTGTCCCAAACATGTACCCGGAATGCAATGTGTCGGGAACCTTCGTTGTTATAATTTGACTTTGAATACTAATGGGGGTGTGCGTATATGTTTGATTTTCGAAGGGTTTGCCTTGCTACTCATTATCCACGAAATGGGTTCTTCTTCATATGCCAAATAAAGAGTGTTAATCTGGAAACATTCTTATATTTTACACTATGAGACCTCCTTTACCAGTGGCAAAATATAGTAATAGGTTTTTACCCTTTTAACTGGTACAAAACTGACACCTTTATACAAGGGATGTCTCGGGTGTGGACCAATCAACTTCAAGGACAGTGCATATCATTATCAGAGTTGTTTCTTTTTGTTTGCATTTTGACTGCTTGTGTTGTGGTTATTGCAGTTTTGTACCAGTTGAAAGGGTACAAACCTATGACTACTATTCTTATATTCTCTTAATATATTTTTGCTAAATATATTATATATTATCGGGGCCCCACAGTGTGTATGGTGTGTACAGTGCTATCACCAACTGTTATTTCCTCCATCTCTGTGCTTTGTAGAAGCTCGATGCTTCACTTATTGTATGTAAATATTCCCTTTACGGCCATAGTGTTATTGACGAGTAGGCAGTGTGCTCCCTTATTAAATAGGATGGCAACTCACCCCGGCAGGTGCAGTCACCTCTCCATGAATGGAAAATGAAAGAATTAATCAAACGTGCCTGCGGGGCACAGAAAAGCAGTGGAACACATCGCGAGTCCGCGTGTGTCCATGCGAGTCGATGGGTGTGTGTGAGTCTATGTATCTCTGTGTGAGGTTATGTGTCTCCGTGTGAGTCTATGGGTCTCCGTGTGAGTATGGGTCTCCGTGTGAGCTAATGTCTCATTGCGAGAATTCTCCAATGACAGGAGTGGCATAGACTGCAGACCCTTGGCTCTCCTCTGAAGCCAGCAATTAGCAGCTGGATATACAATTTAGACATCGATCAATACATGGTTGCTACTCAATTCATATTTCCGTACGAAAGAGAGTGACAAATGTCATCGTCTCAAGTGGAAACACACCGCGAGCCTGGTGCCTCTATGCGCGTCAATGGGTCTCTGTGCGAGTCGATGGGTCTCTGTGTGAGTCGATGGGTCTTTGTGTAAGTCGATGGGTCTCTGTGCGAGTCTATGTGTCGTTACGTTAGTCGATAGGTCTCCGTGTGAGTCTATGGGTTTCTGTGTGAGCCTATGACCAGAGCTGCACGGCAAGTTTGGAGCGAACGTAACGCAGGGATTTATGATTCACTTGATTGGTTTTCTCGGACACACGGAAGGACGTGAATATTTGCTTGCTAGCATAGGGCAAAGCTACGAGCAGAATAACAATTATCGCAAGGTAACGGTTGCACACCCAATAGGCCGTGGGTGGCTTGTACACAGTGAGTCCTCGTTTGCCGCGGTAGATGCGTACCTGAAAAGATTCGTGGTAAGCAAAAGACGCTTAAAGGGAAAAACGCGTCAAGTGAAACCAATTTCCCCATTCATAATGTAACGCGTAGCAAGGTGGCGGGACAAATAACTGAGGGTACGCTGCCGCCGCATTACTATATCATGCCACGTACTGTATCACTCCGCGCAGCTCAAGAAAGTAGTTTGTTATCGACCGCTCAGAAACGGCGTTATAACGGCGCGCGTTCTACATTATGACGGCGTGAATTCTGCGTTATAACAGGGCGCGTTCCGCATTATGCGAAAAGTGTTTCCAAAAAGGAAGAAACGCGTTATAGCGAAAACGCGTTGTGTAAACACGTGTTAAGCGAACACTTACCGTATATATTTATTAAATATTGTTATGTTTGATGTGGAGAGACAAGTATTCTTAAAGGAGGTGCTTATTCTGTTATTAACATTCTCCGCAACGACGCTCGGTTATTATTCTGTCTCAGGTATTTATAAAAAAAAATGATGTGGTCTTCTGAAGAAGGGTCATTGCCAGAAACATGTTTTCTTTGTGTACTCCAATGTATATATAATATGACACAATTGTTACATTACAGTTTGCCAGCATTGGTTCAAGCAAGCTTGGCACTCCTGATGAGACACTGAATGTCGAAACCGATGCTGCTGATGAGCTACATTTCTCAGAAGGCCGCGCTGCTGATGGGATGTGTAAAACAAATTGTTTACGTTGTGTATACGGAGAGACAAAAGGAGGCGTTATGGGGTGTCACTCAGGTAGAGTATTGGGTCTTTGAGTGTCTTTTAAAGGTGTATGCATTGCCTTCAAGTCAATAGTGCCGAATTCACCGGATTATAAGACGCCCCAGAGAGTAAGACACACCCCTAATTTTGTAAAGTGTAGATTTACGAAACAGATTGGGGGAAAATGTTTTATACTCAATATATTGGTTCCTAAGCCTTCCCTAGATCATAAACCCAACCCTACGACCCATCAACTGAAACCCGATTCCGGCTCACGGTCAACAGTTAGTGGCGAATATCTGAACTTTGGCCTCCCCTAGGTCGACTCAGCCTGAAATAAGTACCCGGCGCGCGCTGTGCAAACATCAGCACTGGGGGAGACAAAGGCGACCGGGCGTCGTGGTTCTGACCACACCACTCGCCACGCGCTTGCGCCAGCCTTCGCGGGTGCTTGCTCACACGAACACTTGCCCCAGCAGCCTGTGCAGGCTATGCGGATGATCTTTGTCTTTGCATGTACAGTATCAATGTTTGTGTGTGCTTGTGGCTTTGTGCATGAGCAGGTACTGTGTTGATAAGCGTGGTAGACATATAACCCGCAACCAGTTTTCTTCCATAACTGAAATATAGATTGATTGCAAATTACGGTAAATGTACACACTCTGAGTCAATCCACTCCTGGATGAAGGACTCATATGAGCCACTTCACCCTACGCCAACCACGCCGGTGGGTGCGCGGATTGGCGAATCGGTCTGGGAAACTGGAGCAGTTTAGAGAGGACTCGTCACTGATGTTAGCCGGGTTCACACATAGCGCAGTGCACTAACCACTGCGCCATCGCTCTACCCCATGCGATTCACTACACCTCTGACAAATTCGAAACACGCCCCCACAAATTTGCCTAATTGTGTTTATGTTGTTAGGTTCTGACTTGTGTTTCCGTGTGTTTATTTTGCAGATCACACCGTGAGATAACCTCTTTGTTTGAAAAACCACCGACACACGGGCATATGTAGCGTATACATGCAGTTTGCATGCAGTCTACATGCAGTATATTGGCAAGAATTGAGTTTCCCCGTTTGGAGAAACTTCATGTAACCAGGATTGATGGATTTCCAACGGTGCAAGTGTTGAACAGCAACAGGAGTAGCAGCAAACTTCGTCACGAGCAACTTTCATCACGGTCAACTGTTATAACACGCAAAATTTATGAAAAGCGACGTTTGTCACAAGCTACTTTAATCTCAAACAACTGTTGGAACAAGCAACTTTTATTACATGCAACTTTTATCACCAACAACTACTACTCCCACCTATCAATATCGTTAATAGCCAGTTAGTTGCATCAGCTGAAAAACGGACCAGCAAGCTGTACTGTGGCATGCAACTAGTTTGAGCAATTAAGGAGCAATTTTAGTGGCAAAGGAGTTGCCATTGTCGTTGAAAGGAGCAGAGGTAACAGCCACTGGTGGCCGCTACAATCTACACAGCAGCAATAGTACAAATTCAAGCGACGTATCTAGTGATACAGATGTACACATATGTACGTGTGTATACGTACGTATATGTGTGTACTCATGTAACGCGTATGTGATACAAAATAACTTGACCCTATGTGAGTATATCATTTAACTTAAATATTTTCTAAAAAATATAAAGATCCCCTATGTAACCAAACAGGATGTTGGGCAAGTACCATTAGCGATAACCTATCGAGGTTGGAACAGAACATGAAGGGGTGGTGGTGTGGGTAGCACTGTGCTCGGTTGCCTTTGTCTCCCCAACTGCTGATATTGACACACTGCACTAGGGACATAATTTAAGGCTAAGTCGATCTAGGCGAGGCCCAGGACAGGTTCTGATAGCACTTGCCACTCACTGATGTTGTTTTCCGTGGCCGGGAATCAAACAGGTCGCCGGGTTCGTAGCACAGTGTGCTAACCGCTGCGCGACCACTCCCCACACACACGCATATTACATACATAGACACAGCCAGAAACATGATTCATACATACAGACATCATATTTAAAGTGCGAACACATACACGCATAGACTGAACACACACACACATTTCAAGAGCCGCATGACTCACAGGGCTATACCTCATAAATGAACTGATATATGTATACATATACACGTCAGAAGATAACAAAGACAAAGATCCCCCATAGAACATTGACAGACTGTCGGGGAAAGTGCTGTGAGCGAACACGTCACACTATGTAAGCACGTATACATACACTGCATATACACGGATAGATAAACCAGGAATCTCCATATGTAAGCACACGCATACATACTGCATACACATACACTGATCCATACTCACACAAAATAACATTACAATATGTAAACGCACGTATACATACACAGTCCGTAGCCACAAACTTAGACCAAGACACACACGTACTGTTAGCGAGCACCTATTAAGGCCGGGACGGCACACGAAGAGGTGGGTGGGCAGCACGACGGCCCGACCGTGTTTGTTTCCCCAAGTGCTGATGTTTACACACCGCATCCAGGTACTCGTTTAATGCCTAGTCGATCTCACGTATGTATCTATATATGTTGAACTTCCATCACACCGTACGTAGCGAACCGTGTTAATCAGGAGGTGCAGTGAAGAACCACAAACCAAGACACACACGCATGCCATTCGCCACTGTGAGTATTTGGCAGCAATACATTTCCATGTGACAAGCCATTTCGTTGGGCTATCATTTGTGGCCAGGTCGCTTCTGAAAAAGATCTACATAGCTCAGAGAGCCTCACCTGGTGAAATTCAAATAGAAGTGACTTTGACTTCGCTACAACAGCGCCCGCGCAAGGCTAGGTGCACCTTGAGACGCTCTAGCGATGGACGCGGACGCGGAGCAACCTCGCTGGCTACAGCCACACTCTTCTGGAGCCCTCGGAGGTCTCGCGGGACTCTCAGCCCTGGACACCGCCAGCCACTCAACCTCCTTGCATCTCCAAGGTCCCACCTCAATGTCCCACCATGGCTACACAGACAGCTCCACTCATCACTCACACGATGACCACCACCACCACCACCAGCAGCAGCAGCAGCATCATCACCACCAGCAGCAGCAACAACAACAGCAGCAGCAGCACCTTCATCACCAGCAGCAGCATCACCTGGATGCGTTTTACATCTCGGATGTGCAAAGTGGCTGCTATGGGTCTCATCCAACCTACAGGACTTCCATTGGTGAGACCCCTCGTGAAACCAGAGATTTAGTGTGTCTGTGCGTCCTGTGTGGCTGTCTGTACGTATATAGAATGTGCACGTATGTCAAACTTATTTCGCACCGTACATAGCTTTTGTAAGAGCTGTGGTGCAGTGGTTAACGCACTGTGCGTGTAACCTGGCGAGTTTTGATTACCGCTTACAGCTGGGACTCCCCCAGGTCGACTCAGCCTCATGTGAGTATCTGGTGCAGTGTGTAAACATCGGCATTTGGGAGACAAAGGCGACCGAGGGTGGTGGTGACCAACCATCCGCTCCCATCGTGTGGTGTGCCGGCCTTAATAGGTGCTCGCTAACAGCAATTCAGTCCAGCACCATGCCAGGCCGCCTTTGTTTCCCTCGTGGCGATGTTTGCACACCGCACCAGGTAATCATTTGAGGCTAAGTCGACGTAGGGGGGAGGGTCCAAGGACCTAGTTCAGATAATCGCTATAATTGGTGTTGGTTGGCCGTGAGCGAGAATCCCATGCACGCATGTCCAAACGTATACAAACACACACATGCACCCACATTTTGTTTGGTTTAGACCTGTAAATTCTGCACAGTAAGATTGCAGAGGTATTGTTAAGTTTACTAGGTGACCATGTGACACAGCGGTCAGAGCGCTGACCTGGCACCGCTGAGATCCTGGGTTTGAATCCAGGTTTCACCCGCAGCGCGTGATTAAACCGGGTGCAACAACTTGATGGTCTCAAGAGTTCCATAGACTTCTGCGAGGGATGGCAGTGGCTGGGTTATGTCTTCATCCAACAGTGGATTGACTATGGCTGATGATTAATGCATTTCTATGTATGTTGGACTTCTTATTCAACCGTGCTAATCTGAGGTGTGGGGGAAGGACAACCAATGGCACTTGGGTCTGTTCCGTGACTTCCTGCCAGGGCCCTTCGATACTCCACACGGCCTCAAAGTGACACAAGCGTTGTGGTGATGTCACCGCCACTTTGTGGTGAACGGCGGTTGTTGTTATAGATTCTTATAGAGATCCACAGATTTGCATAGGGACTCATAGGCCCACAGAAACTGAGTTGTGATGAGACCGGGTTTTCAAGGGTAGTGAGCTAATGCTCTCAGCCCAAGCCACCCATGGCTGCACAAATAAATCCATCGCATTATATTTTTGGTCCTTCCTTAATTGGCCTAAATCCCAGCTCTGAAATGCATATTTTTTTTATTGACATGCAACAAATGTTCTTCACGTGACGTAAAAGAGCCCTACCTGCCTCCGGTGCAGGTTTAATCAAAGTTTATTTTGTGTAACCAGGTGAGAGCTCAAGAGACCAAGAATAATTTGCTAGAGTCATCTGGGTTACCAATATTTAAAAAAGCAAAACAAATAAAGTAAAGTTACAGTAATGAAGCAAGTGGCAATCGGAACAAAATGAACCACACCGCATGGGACATCACTAAATATTGCACAAAGATAAATCAACGTTAAAACAATGAATTCCCTGCAGTGTAAGCCGGCTCCAACAAAACGGGCCGACTGAAGCGACGACTTCGGAAGTCGTTCTGTGATATCATCTTCGGCATAGCGCTTCTCTGACACGTGGTGGTGCACTGCTAGCTGCGAGGGCTCTCAATGAACATTGCTCTTTATCCCATGACCGACAGGACGCGGCGAAAGCTCAATTTCAATATAATTGCAAGAGGAATAAATCTAAACACACGAAACAACAACAGTTGCTTTTTCTGAGTGGCATATAAGACGAAAAAAACACGACAGTTCTCTGCCAAACAGTGGTCAGAACAATCACCCGTTGTTTGAAAGAGAGAGGGAGAGACGGGCATTTGAACATGCGGAGTATATATCTCGCGGTAATAATCGTAATTACCGCTAATCTTGGGGTGGGGGGATCAGCGTATCTGACCAATTTGTTCCTGTCTCGCAGCGCCGTCAACGGTCGTCAGCTGCTTCAGCTGAAATAATGCCACGTTTTTGCCACCGCAACAAAAAAAGACACGCGAGGCCGCATCACGCGGTTGTCCGGCAGGACGCCACCACCACCATGTGAAAAGCAATCGCCCAACAGAGAATTTAAATCGTCGGCGTATCGCCCCATCCGCTTACTCTGAACAAGGGGGCGAGAGAGACAAACGCGGAGTTCTGTACATGTAATATTACACATCTGCTTCTATGCGAAAAGTAACCGCTGTTAGTGCCACGGTTTCATATAGTAATGCGTTTAAAATATATATCCATATATATTTGGCCGTAATGATGATGTGGATGATACGGGACGTCTGAGAGCAATTTACATTACACAGCTCATCTCAACACATTTGGAAGGGCACCCCAGTGGCAGCTGTGGGGCAGCTGTGTAGCACCAGATGACTCAGCACCTTGGCTGCAAGCGGCATTAGTCTGCCAGTAGGGGGCGATAATTGCTGCTGTGTCATACCATTTGAGTAATTTGGAAAGTGTGGGCCCTGACGCCGGCACACAACGGTCTGCTCTTTCGAGTGAGGTCAGTGGGATATCTAACGTTCACTTTGAGTAAAACTAATGGCGCGTAGTGTTAGTATGGTCAGCACACACCGCAGTATTCATCAGGGCGGCCGCTACATTCGAATCGCCAACCTCCGCAGGGCCACGTCACGTCACCACCTTCCACGTTTAATCCTGTCCCATAATTGCCGGTCCTGATGTTATGCTAATTGTTTACCAGTTATCTGGTGCTGCTGCTGTGTTGGCAGTGGTGCACGAGCACAGTTAACAAGAATAAACGTAGCACATTCGTCAATATATTACATGGTTCGTGCCATTTGCCCTTCTTCATCGCACGCGTTTTATGTGCCATGAAGAAGAGCCATTGCCCGAAATGTCTCCTGTTTTCATAATAAAGGTTTTTGGGTTAAGTCGCGTAAATATAAATGTGTCGTAAAATCACCTTCACCCGACAGAGCCAATCAGTAAGGTTTGTCACGTGAATAAGACAGTTACTGCTTCAGCACACCGGTGTGTTGGAGCGCAAAACCACAACATTTACAATTTGAGTAAGTGATCTAACCCCAAAAAACTTTATTACGAATAATATTATTTACGAAAGTCTATGTGTTAAATTGTCTCATATATTTTCCGTTTAGGGCCGCAGTGTTATTGACAATTCTGTCGAGATTGTGTTGGACAATCGTTCAGTATAACTGGGAATTGACGAAGTATATTTACGGGACCTTTTTGCCAGTATAAAAAATTATGAAAAATAAGAATAGGCTTTAGCCATTTTGGCAACAAAACAGGAGGTGTTAAGATGTCCAGGTCATCAAGTCTGCATTAACCACACATTACTTGTAGCAAAATATGCAAACAAACGGGTCCACGAGTTGGGGGACAACAAACTAAACACAAAAAGCACCTATATATAAAATTATATATACCGTATACGTGTAACTGTGTATGTGAGGAGCGATGATGTAGTGGGCCCTTGCGCTGCGCTACAAACCTGAAGACACGAGTTAAATTCTTACTTACGGACAGCATCAGTGAGAAATATCTTAACCGGTCCTGGGCCTCCGCTAGATTGGTTCAGTCTCAAATGAGTACTTGGTGCAGTGTGAAAAACTTCAGCACTGGTGAGACAAAGGTGGCCCGGTATGGGGTTGTGTCACGCAAGATCGTCGCGCGCCATGCTGGCCTTAATAGGTGCTTGCTAACAGCACTTGTCCCAACAGTCAGCTAAGGCTATCTTTGTCTGGTGTGTACCCTTTGTGTTTATAAGTTGAATGGGCCAAACATTCCAGTGCAGGGCTCCTCCTGCGAGGCAGCACGAGTGAAGCCTTTACTGGGTACGTAAATGGCATTATCGTTCTCATTCATCTTGCTCGTCATCAGCCCCCCCCACTCATTACGATGAAACAACACCCCCCTTTGATGAATTCTTGATGGATTTATTAAAATAGCCACGCTCGCGTTTTTCACGTCGCATGATTGGGCATGTAATTACAGTCTCGCGTGTTTGGGGTAAAGTGTGGGTACACTCCCACCTCTTCCAAGATAGTCTGGCGCAGCATGCAGCAAAGTAGCACTCTCTTAGAGCGCCTCTCCAGTAGAGGCCCCTTCCGTCAGCAGTGACGTGAGTAGGCAGTTGCAGGGCTGCGCCTTTCTCTGAGCGTATGAGCGATTCAACTCTTCTTTTTCACCCCCGTTGAGCCAAATGCAGCTTCACCCAGTGGGTATTTGCTGTTAACATTTACATTATTATATTTTTTTAGTTTGTTACACTGATATACCTATGTTTGTTGAGCTTTTTTCGAACTGTGCGTAGCCAACCGTGCTAATCGGAAGTGCGGGAAGGACAAACTACTAAACACAAAAAACAGTTCTAATGAAATTCGTTTTCAATTTCGATTTAAAAGTGGCATAGCTCCAGTGGATTCCAAATATCGGAGGGAAGAGCATTCCAGATGTTCGCAGAAGCGCATCTGAAAGCACGCGATGCGGGGACCGTCTTTGTTCATGATCCCGTTGAGCCAGTTTCCCCGCGAAGGGTATCCCTAGTGGCAGCTGTCCCTGTGTGGCAACAAGCGACTCAGCACCTGGCCTGCGAGCGGGCGTTGGTCTGCCAGTAGGGGCTGATGATTGCTGCTGTGTAATCCCAATTGAGTAATTTGGAAAGTGTGGACCCTGAAGCCGGCACACAACGGTCTGCTCTTTCGAGTGACGTCAGGGGGATCTCTACCGTTCACTTTGAGTGATACAATACTCACCGCAATATTCATCATGGCGGCTGCTGCATTCGAACCGTGAACCTTGGGCACAGCAGTAGCGGCAAAACAAAGACAAAACGTCAACACTGCAGACAACACATACAGGGCCCTGAAGGAATATCGCACAACTAGCACGCCTAGAGGTAATTAACGGTCGTACATGAAAGGTGCACGAATCGATTTGTGATATACGATTACGTATTATGACTGACCAGAGTGGTGAAGTATTGTCAAACAACCCTCAAGAGCAACGT